ACGTCTAAATGAATCTTTTTTTCTGAGATGAGACATTTGTTTTCATTCTAAAATATCTGAATTACTTTGAACTAAGCTGGAAATTATGTCCCTTAAAATAATTAAACAATGCATATTTATATTGAATCAAACTATGATAAAAGGAATAATATTATATAATAAAGGGCAAGGTCACCAGAGTTCAACTATGTTTATCTACTGTGGGAATATGACTTCAGAGGTTATCGTCGATTAGGACTCCATTCCCGGACGTGCACAGATTTAACGTATGGACCAAAATACGTCTTTATTTAATATGTATTGCCTTATGAGAACTGGAGTATGAATCAAGTAGATGACCCCTTGCAGACGTCGTCTCACCACCTCGTGTTATGTGTTCAGTTTGTGTTAGATCTTACATTTGGGTAACTGCGAAATATAGAAGTTTACCTATAATAACACCGTGACGTAACTGAAGAAATCCTACCAACAAGGCTGAATAACACAACTTCCTGGTCTGCTACACGTTGCTATGCGCCATACACATACAGAGCGCGATTGTATGTTGTCTAATTAGCGGGCGTTTCCCATGGCGACACTTGTTATGTAAACTATTGAAATTTTCCCCAAAAACTGCCCGAACGATTTTTTTCGTGGAACTTATTTAAAACGTTATCGTTCATTCATTTCAAGAATGACACGTACTTAAACCCAAAGAAACGTATATCATGTTTTATTTTGCAAATTTATTATTCTGAATTCATAGTGAAATGAATCAGTGTTATATGATGAAATTGTTTTCGCGTATCTGTTGATCGACTTAATTAGTTGATTACTAGCGAATTGCTGTGTTATGTCTGGCACCGTATAGGCCATGTGAAGTTTTGGACGGAACTTGGCTCAGTGATTTGGAACTAATTACGAGATAACCGTCGCTATTCGGACTACTATTTCTGACAGTTGGTATTCGTAGTTATTAATGTAGTGAACGATTAATCAAAAGATATGACGTATTCAGTACTTAGTGTGATTGGCTTTATGATTGAAGGTTACGCCCTAGAGTCTTTTTACTGCTTTGTAATTGGTTAGAGTTTTGAAAATGAATAAAGTTGTTTTAGTTGGTCTTGGCGAGTACACCACGATAGACTCAGTCTAGAGTCCAGTCCTGGAGAGTTTTGGGGCGAGTCTTGGGTCAGCCTTGCGATAGTCTTGGGGATTTTTTCCCCAGGGCGCTGTGTCTTATAGAGTGCTCGAATTACCGACTAAGACGAGAGTTGAAACGTATTTCGTTGTGTGTGTCTTATTTGACTGTAAAGCTTAAGTGACTTCCCCGATCCCGTACCTCGAGGGGACGCGATAGAGAGACGAGACGAGATTCCCTCCTGACACGTGTGGAGAACCCCGAGGCCGAAGTTTTTCCCCTGATAGTTATATGGTTATGAATTGTGTTTTCATATAAATGCAATGTCTAACGTTATTAGGTATGATGGCATTTAATTTGTTAAAAGTCGCACTTTGGTTATTTCAAATTTGTGAGGTGAAATGCCGTTGTAATTGAAATTCATGATTGGAAACAGTCGTAAATGTAGATGTGATAAAAATCATCAAAATAGAGCTAAACATTTGTCTCCCTTAACGTAAATTCATAATTCTGGTCTA